ATTGTTTGATAACTTCGTAAGTCATATCTTCTGGAAGAGAATTGAATTATGGCTGGAAGATGAACACTTGAGCTACCACCAGTGTTCCTATTCTTGAGGAGAGAAAACTTGTTACTGTCAAGCCGTTCACACATTATCAGTTTTGGGCTTAGCAAAATCCTATGCACTGATTTTTCACCTCTGTCTCTCAATTGAATACCTAAATTGGATGCTTCTCGATAAGGTTCGAAATTAAACAAATCACGATGTGGACGGTAATTACGCAATACTCCGATTCAATTTCAACCCGGTGAGCAAGTGGACTGGTTCCGAGTCTGATTCCCGATTTGGTCGATAAATTCGCACTGCTGGCGAGAATCAACAAGACTGCGACAACTGTAAACTGCTTTCAGCTAACCATTTCATTGATTCTTCATACGATGAAAGTCATCGAACATTCGAGTTATTGATCCGGGGTAGCTTAATGGAAAAGCAATATCGTTAATCAAAGGAACAAAATTGTACAGTATTCGAGATGATCAGATGCACGCTCCAAGTGGAGAATCATTCGACTTTGCGATCAGAACCCGAGTTTGAAGTAGGTCAATTTAGTTACTGTAACTGACAGACCTATTCAGCCTTTTTAATGCATGGTGCATTGTTACTGTGGAACGACAAGTTTGTCAACTGGGACATCAAGTAGTAATAAAAGTGGAACGCCGTGTTTTTGTTTTTCATGGCAATTGGTCGACAAAACCAAACGAGAATTATAATCGGGCAAATTGGTGGCGGTAAATTTTAGAAGCTCAAGGGAACCATCTATTGTGAATCGACAATACAATACGAGCATCGAACAGGGTGATTATTTCATTTTCTCTTGCAAATTCGAATTGAAACATTTAACCGGTCCGCAAAAGTACATAGATACGCACCCCGTGCTCCGTTTCCTGATTGGAAACCAACCGTCAAATAGGTAAGGCTTATCAAAGAACCGTGACTGACTACCCAAACGTGTATAACGCTTTACAGAAAAGTTATTTGGCTTATTCTTATCATACAGTATATTGCTGAGAGATGAAAACGTCTTAGGTGACTAAAACATTTTGATATCACCAAAAAGTAACTCACCTGTAACGTCTCCGCCCAGCATTGATAGCATTCGTGCCTCCGCCGGACTCTCATAGGTCGGGCCTCCACAAAAGCAGTAAACTCCTTCGTGAACCAAATGCGACAGTCCCTTTTCGGCCGCGAGTTGCAACATCAGGGAACGAAGCTGCTTATCATACGCGTTGGACGTTGCGGGGAATCGGGGTCCAAATCTGTCCGGAGGTGAGAGAAGCAGGGGGAAATCAAAATGCCTTCGTTGACCAATCCAACTGCTCACCTCTCATCATTTGGTCCCACTAGGACACACTGAAGTGCTAGAGACGGAAAAGACAAATGATCTTTGATGATCACAAAATCGCCCAATTTCAGTTGGCGATTTAGTCCACCAGCAGCGTTGCTCACCAGAATTGTTTGCACTCCAAGTAATTTCATCATCCGGATCGGGATCGCAATCTACACCGGAATAGAACTGCTGAACAACCATGCCTGAAAAACTCTACCTCATCGTTACTGTATCCTTCGTACGGATGGAAACGACCTTGCATGACAACTACAGCTTTTGACCCGATATAGCCAAATACCAAATTTCCCTTGTGTCCAACCACTGCAAGCCGTGGTGATAATCACTAAGAGCAAGTAGTTAAAATCGCTTACCGGTGGACTGTGGAAATCCGGGTATTTCTTTGTACGGTATGGTTACACTTTTACCCACGGCATCGGCCAGTTTGCCCAAGCCACTGCCACAAATAATACCAACAGTGGGATTTAAATCAACTCGAGTACGGATGGACTTAACAATGTTCTCGATAGATTCGTAGTTTGAAGGTGGCCTTATTAAGATGTAAAAGTATGAAAGAGCATGATTCATCAATCAGTGAAAGCAACTTACATTAGTGAACAGGCCAGTTACGTATTCTCGGTTCTGTTAAACATGTAGAACAAGAAATTCCATGGTTAAAAATTGTTCTAATTTCCAAATGGAGTGTGACTTGCTACCAACGAATCACGTTTGGTCACACAACAAACACACCACTCACTTCAAATAATCCTACAAGCACTTTGTGAGTACATTTATTGTTCGATTTATGTGATCCAAAATGTAACTCGATTGTGAAATCGAGTAGGATTTCGGATCACGTGACCTTTTATTCAGCTGGATCAATCGTTTCACTAGACGAAGAAAAACATCGAACTTGGGCTGAGGGATGACGCATTCGAACGAGAATTGACTGGATTCAAACGCAGTGATTCGAATTATTGACTGGAGAACAACACAATAAACTCGCGGGCTGTCGTCAATCCAGTGCCGTTGCCGAAATCTCCCACCACCGAGTATGTGGTACTTAAGCCGAAAACCTTTTATGCTGGTATGATTAATCAAGAAATACAGACCGAATGGTTTCTAGTTGTTTGCTAGTTTCAGTTCAGAAAGAACCTTATTGCATGAAAAATACATAGGAAAACAGAGGTTGTATTACTGGGCTTTTAAGTCCAAGTGAACACCCGTTTCTTGCTTTCCCTAGCAAGCAATGCTGTTTTAGCTTCCCAAAATTGCTTACTTTTCAGCGATACAAGTGGATCCTCTCAGTTATATGCTCATTTATAGGTAAATCCTCACTTTGCTGGATTAGCTTTGAAGTACTCTTTCCTTCTTTTTTCGTTTCAAAACCAGAACCGCGAAGAGGTTGATCATTAGCCTCTTTCAACTTCACAGTACAGCCAGGGGAAGTACAGTGTTGTTATTCTGCGATATTAGTCCATTCTATTCCAGGGGTGAGTGAAAATTGTGAAAAACGACCAAAAGCGTTAAGCGCTTTGACCTCGGGTTTTTCAATTATAATACCGCGGTGAGGTTGGTCGGTGCTGATCTTAGCTTACGTGTCTCGGGTTGCTCGTGCAACACAATCAAACGAGTCTCAGATGTGAGGACTGCGTTGTGGCTAGGTGACCCTTCCCTAATCAACTGATGTACGTTTCCCACAGCGAAGTCTCATCTCTTATTCCATGCCCCTATTGTTTACTGTGCTCTCTATTCTTACGGTTCCGGCGAATAACACGTGTGATATAGTAGCTTTTGACGCTGATTGAGTCCCCGTGATTTCTGCTTCACTCAGCCGGGCGCCAATCAAGCTCGGTATCTGATTTTAATGTTCAACGAGTCATTTGTACTGTTTTTCTCACGATAACCTTCAAATTGGGCCCTATCTGTCATTTCGGCCTCCAAGCAGGGTCTCGACTACGGTTCCCAACTTTGTTCAGACTAATGTCCTGTAGTTTGACCTCAAGACACATGTCTATGCTTATCCCTGTTAACACTAGAACACCCAGAAGGTTTATCACTCTCAAAAAGCCAGTGTGGTCAGGTTTACCCGCACCCAATTATCGTGGTAAACAAATAGTTTTGTCTATGTTATAAATTCTTTAGTTCAGAATTCCAAGCTGTTTAACATAATCAATCCACACAAATGAGTCATGCATAGTATTCATACAAATGAAATTTGAATTAAGCGCGATTCACTAAAAATTTACAAAATGTAGCTTTATTTCCCAGTTATCAGTCCAATGTAATATTTTATACGGTAGCCCCTGCATTGGGGTTTATTTTCCGAGGTTCAAACACTTTCAACGCCGTCGAACACCGCCAGTTGGTAGTTTACTGCAGTTTGGTTCCAAGTTACACTTGCCCTATTAACAGCCTATGCAGTATGGTCTTACAAGTCCCCGGTTTTATGTATTACCGGTTCCCATACCTGAACAGTAAGTAGGTCGGCTTAACTACGCGATTCATTCTTTCTACTACACATCATACTGAGGTACGTGATTGTAAGGAACAAGGGAGATATTAAGTGAGAAGCTGAGACTCACTAAAAGGGTTTTATTTATTCTTCATGGTGATCATCTGCAGAAGAGTTCAGAGCTCGAACGGGCTGAACATAAGTTTTTCACCCAGTTACACAATGTACCGATTGTTTGATGCTGTTTATACAAAGATGAAAAATTTTCTCTGAAAGCATCTAGATCATTACCAGGAGTTATGACTAACTGATTCGGTCAGATCAGATACTTGATGGTCATGTGAGAATCAAGCTTGTGGTAGCTCCGTGAAGTTTCCCTAAGAAAGGATGGACAACCGGATCGTCTCGCTAAATTAACTATGCAGACTAACTTATCCAGACCGCTCGTTTAGCCATAGCTTTTGAGGTCTGAAGAACGTTCCATTTATATCGTGCCTTCCCGTTTTTGATTCACAACAGACATTGATCAGTGTTACACATTCACCTCATTCCCATTTTGGATCATTTAGCTGTAAACTGAACTAATGATAAAAAATCCTAACCGTTGCATAGCCGGCAAACGAACCAACGTCAGATATTGGTCATTGACCAGATAAGTAGACAAGAGTAAAAATCGCGAGATAATGCACTCGTCTAGACACATTTAGTTTAGTGTGCCTGATTAAAATTAAAATTAAAATCCAGCTACCAAAATAACCGTGTAAAATAGTAAGGTTGAAAATCGAATAGACCGAGCCGAACTGAAATGGCGTTGGGTGTTCTCGATATTGTGGAAGTTATTCAATCCAGTCTATGACTTGATTGACTGAACTTTGTTGATGCCATAAGTCCCAGCATTGCTTTTCAGTAAACCGCATTGGAGACTGAAAAAGCACGTGACTAAACTCAGTACTATTGAAGTATAATTGTACATAGATTAATGGAATTTTGGATTGAGATAGGATGCTTTTATCAATTCTGCTAATGCTTCCAGTCACATAGCACGTCCTTCATCCATCCCGTGCAGAGTAGTAGCAGTTCAGGCACAAAATGGTTCTACTGTTCGGGGTTGTGAGTTATTTTTATTTCTTTTGTTTCAAAGAAAACGGCTGTTTTTTTTTAAATCGACCATCTGTTTCTATGATTGCCTGTGCCCTGAAACGGTTACTGCACCACGGTAATATAGCCAGTCGAATAGAATTGCCTACTGGAATGAATCAGTGGGTCATATAGATGGAACTGTGAACATTTGGATGGTGACTTAGATACATTCCAGGCCATCTCTAGATGATAACTTGGAATGGACTGTGTAGTATTTTAATTGAGAACTACTCGAAGCTTGACCGTGTTGCAAATCATCATCCCCTTCTCTGATTTAATTCAATGGAATGAGCAAAGTAGCTCAGCCGTGGTGTTATCCACGGTTTGTGGGACGATAGTTCTTCTATCCTACTCGATAATGTATAACACAATAAAAACCTTTTACCAAACACCACAATGGACGAAAATTCCACAAACTGTGAAGGCAAAATGCGTCTGATCAATATCTTTGACACACTCAATTCTGCTGCGAACCATAGGCAAAACACGACGTACCCGGTGCAAATCAGACGGATAAACTGAATGACAGTATTGAGAGAGCATCAATTATTTTAACTGCTTTCGGGCGGAGGTGTGTGTGCGTGCGTGCGCGTGTGCATGTGAGCGGCGGATGTGTGCTAGTGGACGTGGGCGGATGTGTGAATGAACAACGGATATATACGGGTGACATGGGAAACAACAGGTCCGTTTGTTAACGTCTATAGCCGGCTTCAAGCGAGCCTTCAACGAATGGGCGACACCTTGACCACGGAGCTCTCAGCACATCGCGCTATAGTTCATCCGGGTGGTGATTTGTTCGAGGGCAAGACAGTAACTTGTGGGTGTGGTCTGCTCACTCAATCTTCCGTATTCCGAATCCGCGTTCGTTCAGTCCAGTTTGGTGATCGATGAACGGATACTTTGATCAGAGAAACAAGAGAACCGTTCAATCTTGGCCCACATAGTCCACCAAATAACATTTTCTTCATCCAGTGCAGCGTCGGTCATGTGTGATAGTGTGTGGTGGTTAAATCCTTAACCAAACTGTAACACTTCAAGTTCAAGGGCAATTGTTGCCACTTGAAGTGAATCAACCAATTAGGTTCTTGTGGAAACCCCGAAACCTGATTGGTCCTCTGACTGTGACATGCACCATCGGTGTTGCCGAGTCTATACAAACCTATCAACAGAGGTAGCTTGCATACCACACGACCGGGGGAGCAATGCGCATGGTCAGTACGATCAGCAGGGAAATTCGATTTTCATATGGCGACAACGTTCGGCCTGATTTTTCCTTGTACCGATGGGCTTTGACGACCGATTCTGAGTAATTGTAAACAGGTTATATATTCATTACTCGCCGATCAGAAAATGAAGGTCATAATAAGATGAATGACTAATCCGGTGGAAAAATGTACATGTGACACGGTCCTAGTCAATCAATTTACTGTTCGCATTAGCAATATGAATAATGTGCTCGGGAGTGGCAGAGACATTTCGGCGAATATGTGAACAGGTCTGACCATTTCCGTTGCTCATGTCACTGTCCCATTTTATGTTTGAGCTGATACAAATTCAGATTGGAATTGGATTGCTCGATTGGAAACATACTGTGACTAACAATACAGTTTGCAATATGTGATCTACACACAAGAACCCGACTTTGAATGAGCGAGCATTCAGATATAGCTATACTGGAATAATACAAGAAACAAGTACACTACACCTTTCCCATTCTAAGAGGCCTCAATTTTGATTGACAATAGTTCAAACTATCAGAATAAGCCATCATTACACATTGTAAGAACACCAGACAGTAGCGAACAAGCTCGCTCGCGGCGATTCATCTACAGGTTAATACATGGCAATTTATGCCAAAAGATTAGTAGTGGGGGGGGGAGAGAAAACATGACAAAGTGGAAAGAGAAATAATCAACATTCAAAAATCCATGACCGGATTTCGCTCACTCCTTGGTCATCACACATCGGCCAGTGCGCTTCCACTCTCCCGTACACAAAACATATTCACCTGTTTGAGTTACCGCGCGAAATGAACAGTTTAATTTGGACGCGAAAGTATCCCACGGTGGGTGGATCATTGATCGTCCGATCCGAGGTCGAACAAGCGCCTTTTTTCGAAGGTTCGCTGTCCTACTCCGAATGGAGCTACCAGACATCTAAAAACTAAGATCGAGACAGCTTGGGTTACAGTTGCTGTTTGAACGGTCATTAACCATGCACTTTCGTGCGCCGGCTTTGGTTGCTGTCTTTAGCCGACAATTAGAATGAACAGCAGGGATAAAACAGTAGAGTTGAAAGTAGAGTGGAATTTAAAATGGAGAATTTCAGTGAACTAATGTTGCATAGAAAGTGAGAAGATGCACGAACGCCACAGGTTACGATATTCAACCATATCACAGTGTCTCTAACTAACAATTACGATCATCCCGAGGTCCCCAGCCGGTGAGCCTAACGGGATCTATTTGTTGCAAAAACCATAAGAACGACTTTCTTCTCCTAATACCCACTATGGAAACAGATGAGAAGATATTTTTGATAGCTTGTTTGGGTTTCTCGATTTTTCAGACGATGTAACTACCTGGGACGCTTCCTCGAGCGCAGACAGGCAGAGTCCGAGTCGGTACAAGATTATCTCGGAGTGCTCCATGAGGAGCTGGCATTACGGGCGCTTCCCGGCTTCCCAGTGGAGGATGTTGAGAAGCAAATAATGGACTGGTTGCGCAGGGGCGTTCACGAACTCGAGGCTCGGTTACAACTGATGCATCGCCCACCATCGACACTGGACTAGGCCGTTGACGTAGCCATCAGTTGCGAAATGGTATAAAAAACGAGGGCATCCTGCAGTTTACGGCTGTATCCGGAATAACTGGGAGTATTGATAGGGAAAAGACCACTTTCCCCTATAAAAGTGACTATTTCCCTGTATTTTCCCCTATTTTTCTAATTATTTTTATAAAATTTGAATCCCCGGATTTTCGCGCTAAAAAAGACTCGTACCGCACCACCGGTGATACTTGATCCTCAGGAGTCCACTCACTACTTTCAAGCTATTTTTCATCGCCACTGATAACCGATCCCCAAAGTGTATATGAACAGACGAGTTATCCGCTATCTTCACCTTTTACGGTCGAGCGAAATATACAGCGTCATCTGAAGGTTTGTCTTCTGTATTCTCTCTCGTCGGGTTCGGGGATCGAACTACTTTCGTGGGGCGTTCTTCCGGTTCTATTGAGATTTGCTCTGGGTACCACAGTCGAGCGTATTCGTGTACTGTTCACCATTCCTCTGGGTCGTCTGGTTCTATTCGTGGTCATTACTGCTGCACGCATCGTTGGGTCACGGTTCGTGCTAGTCCAGTCGTATCGTGCATTTCAACGTTACAACAATTAACAAAGATTGATCAAAAATACATTCGTAACTAGAAAAGCCCCTAGAACGGCAGGCCATTCTGGGGCTTTTCCCCATTCATCAACTGCATGCCCTGAAATGACATTTCATTCGGTTAAGTATTGCAAATAAGCTTTCCAGTCCATTAACTTATTCAGTGCAACAAAACTGTACACACTTATCCCCTTTCAATTGATGACTATTAGAGTAGGTTTTGGTTACCAGTTCCCATGATCGAAAAGTAGGTCCACTTAACTATGCGATTCACTCTTTCAGCCGTTCACACACACAACTTCACTGGTATAAGAAGAGCAAACGTAACTTTGCGCGCGAGACTGAATGAGAGTCGACAAACAACTGTGTTCTATCTCTATGTTGATCGGGAGAAGAGCAACCTCATCGACCTCCGTGAGAATTGAATCATGTTCAAATATTATTGCTCAATTAGGTTTATGATGGAAAATGAATCCGTTCCATATTTCGCTAATAACTCTGATCGAATAGCAATAATTAGTTGTATTGCAGAGCAACCTCTGTCCCAGTTCAGGTTTCTCAATAGTGCAACTGGGGGTCATCCTCCAATTATTTCAAATTCATCAGTTCAGTACCGATTCCTTCGTGTAAATTTACAGTTACATGAATGGGAGAATAAGTGAATCAAGTGTGAAATGATTGCATGGAAAAGCAACTGTATCTCGATGTAATCGATTACGCATGCGAGGTGTTCCTTTCAGTAACACAACTTCCCCAGTGTTTGCGTATATAGGAATCACCGTAAAATAAAATGGTAATTATTTGTGAGAAAAAAGTGGTTGAAATTCCTGAGGAGCAAGAATTGAAAAACGGGTCCCCAGAACGGCGATGTTTGTTCCGGTATCCTCATATTCCCCGCATGGACGTGTTGGCGCTTAGGTCTTCAGAGGAGAAACTCCATAAACGGTCGATAGTCGACTGTCGATGGGGGCGCAGCTCGTCCTCAATAAACAGCGAAAGTTCATTTCGGATGAATTGCTTATTTCGCCTAGTATAGCTGTGGTCAAAGTTGAAATGATCAACATATTCTCCCAACTCACTATTTTTGAGCTATTTGAACACACGTTACCCCGTACGTCTTTTGCCTTTTCGTTTCATTCAGGATCATCATCATTAAATGCTCGCTTTTATCACTTGATCATATTGTGTTGCTGAAGGTAACTGCACAAATTTAGGATTATTTTTATTTATTTATTTATTGTCTATTATCTCCACGATAGAAAGATATACCATCAAAATTGGATGTTGTTGGCTTTTCCGTCCCGGAATTTACGTAACCTGTCGTCATGCTTAGATAAAAATCACATTTTTAAACCATATATCACGAAATCTAACTCTATTTGGGATAATTCTCAAGGTCACTTGACCAGTCAGTCAGGTGATAGGCATTGCCCATCGATATATTTTAAAACACGCTAATCAGCTGTGCAGACCCTATCTATATGGTATTTTCCCAATTCACACATGTTATAAGCTTTGAAAATTCCTTACAACAACCGCTAAACCAAAATGGCCATCAACTCAGAATCCTCGTCTGCGACAATTTGCAGTCAAAATTGGAACGACGATATTTGTAGCCTACCGGGCTATTCAGGATCTACCAGTGTCACCTTAGTTGCGTCTAGAAGACTAACATCAATGTCTACTGTTTCACTGTCCGAAGATTTCAAAGAAGAAGAGGTTGCCGAACTGGATTTATGTGCTTCACTGATGGCAGCGTGCGATGTGTTGGAGGTGGCACAGAATAACAACCAAGTCAATTATTTTGATCGACTCAAAAGACATTCACAATCCCAAACAAAGCCCCGGATACAAAATAATGCAATTGTGAAAGAAGGAGTGGCCTGGTATCCAAATGAGTTCGTCATTGTACATTCCGATCTCACATCTACCGTTTGGAGTGAGATCTCGGAGAACCCGGCAATATGCTCCGAGCAAGATAGGTCACACAGTGCGCACAGACGACAGGAATTAGATTCCACCGAAGAAACGGTACAAAAACAACAGAAGAAAGAATCCAAATGTGATATCATTGGGAACTCTCCCTCCTCTTTTTCATCTAAACTACCAGTATTTGAAAAAAGTAAAACAAGTCAGGACACTACTATCATCCTTGACACGTCCAAGATGGGCACAACACAGCGCAATCCGGCCCGAATGTTGCAGCGATTCAGCGTGGATTCAACACCAAGTCCGGTTCACACTGTTACACCGCAAATAAGACGTGAATCTCGGGTACGTGAGTGCATGAGAAAATATTTTCCTGGATGTGATGCAAAAGAAGTGACGGAGAAACTGATGGAAGAGAATAAGGGTAAGTTTATTGTCCGTCAAATGTAGGGAAATAATTTGCAGTTTGTTACTCCAGCGCTGAACAATATGTGCCCTTTTATAATAATCTCAGTTTAAGAATCATCTTGGGTTGTAGGACTATTCATAGAGACATACAAAAATTTCTGTTTATTTTGTAGTGGTTCACTGTAGTCCAAGTACGCCAGCAAACACATTCGCATTCACCGACCGAACGTCTCCACTGGCACGGTAAAGGCCACGCATGTAGTGGTTAGTTTCTCATATATATANTATATATATATATATATATATATATATATATATATATATATATATATCATGATAACCGAAAGCTTATTGGCTTATACTATTCAACAAGACTCCGCATGCTATTTTCGTCTGTATCGACATCAGTCTCATCGGTCCTGATCTTGTCGGTCCCGATTGACTAGTATGAAACAGTTTTCAGTTTCCTGTATCGGTTTTTATTATTTTTTCTTTGGGATACTCATTTGTTTAATTAGTGAATAAAGGAGCAAATAACTAAAAATACTGAATGTGTGCTAGCTGATGAGGCTAAGAAGCATTGTGGGACGGCGCACATTTTTCACAATATTGCATCCCCACGTTTGGCTAAACTACTCATGTGACCTAGGCTCTCGACTAATGAAGATAAACATAACGTTCCAAGTTCGGACGTGATACCGTGATAAACGTAACGTATCAATGTAATGACGAGTAAGTCGACCGCAGTGAAAGTCCAAAGGGATTTCGGAAACAAATTATCAATTGAACGGTGAAACGGAAAAAACCTCGCTCTTCTACACGGCATTTCACGCGCTCTTGATCCGAGAGCAAACAAACACACCATAGACAGAAAATGTCAATTTGAGGGAGTGATCACTGCTATCGGTACCTCGGACCGTGACCCATTCAAACAATGTTGAGAACAACGTCTTTTGCATCTCCTAGGATGATATTTTGAAAAACGTTAGTTGTTTTCCTCCTTCCATTTTGGAATTATTGTTATTGTTTTCTTTGCCAATATTGTAGCTACTCTCATTATTTTCGAAAACGGATGATCATCGTGAAGAGTTTACTAGGGTGTACGCGAACTAGCTCAATGAGACAGATTGTAGGCACAAAATAGTCGTTTTCTATGAGACACTTACCACAACTAAAAGCTATGAATAAAGTCATTTTCAAAATTAACTACAATCTTCAGACTATACTTTCAGTGTGATTAGGATGGATGAGGGACATGCCGTTTGTGACCAAAAACACAAAGTGACTTGCACGTTTGCCTTACCGAATTGGTTCCCGGGTCTTCTCTTTATAAACCAGGTCTACGGACCATTGCGATTTGACCTGAGTTTGGTCACATGCTATTTGCTCTATGCTCAAATTTGTTGAAGAAAACGCTTGAAAACTATGAAGACAATGTTTGGTCAGTGAACGTGGGGAATTAATTGGTTCCCGTTCGAATGCGTTCCCCAACGATAATCTGTTCTGAAAATATTGGACGCCATTTCATTCCAGTTCAGTTTATACAATCATTATTTTTTTGTGTCAACTTTGATAGCAGGTTTTTTGGGTTTCTTCTTGGATGACAAATTAGGCGGAGTGTCAACGAAAACTCATTCATCCCGTAGGGAAGTGTCAAAGTCTTTTCGCTTTGAGCCATGGGTCACCACATATCACACTGCGTCAGATATCGTATTTTGCGCAATTTCCAACAACTCATATCATTCCGTTTGAAAGTCCTCTGGTTGCCAAGGCTGATGTTTATGCGAATTGTAATGGTATTTAAAGGTTACACGAGAGCTAACACAATCACGCTATGCATGAAAATGCATGATTAATGGTTGTAAAAACTAAAACTGATTACGAATCTCGTATTACATGTTGGAGTTGAAAACTTTTGATTATTTATGACCAAAGCAAATTGATCACAGAAGATTATAGGGTACAATATACCAGATGCACTCCTCAAGTACTTTTTCTCGGAAGATTTACTGTGATCAGAATATATATGTATCATTCGGATTGGAAAAAAGTAGTCTTTCACTGTGCTCAGCTCACGCAATCTTGAATCTCTTTGTTCATCGAGGTATAAAAAGATAGAGATCACAAACTCGTGGAAATATAATCTCATTACAGTCATCGAATCAATGCCACAACGTATGGAGTTACCACTCAACGATAAAGTGAATCTTTAGGATCCCAGCAAGGAAGCCATATTCAAACAGAGTTTCTTCACCTCTCAATATAAATTCAAGGTTTGTTCAACTTGCTCTTCTTTAACTCGGCTGATTGTTTGCACGGCGGTCCGAAATATATGTGATTTACTCGGGATTTCTGCAAACAGCACGTGCACATTGACTTACACAGGCCGATGCTATAAGTTTTGTTACTATCAAATGGTTACTGATCTCGTTATCAGTAGTAAGACAGTACGTGCAAACTTTTTCCAAGTATAACTAACGTTTGCGCCTGTTAGGCACTATAAGCAAGAAATCTTGTGAGACTTCACCGTATCAATTCCAAGCTTCGAAGTAAATCAGTTTGTCACGGGGAGCGTTTACAATTGTGGCATTCAGGTGTATTATCAACTATCACGTCATCCTGTCGATGTAGTGATTTTTATCGATGCCCTTACATAATTCCGTTATCGCAGTTGAAAATTGGTTTTACTCTAATTGTACATCCAATAAATGGGATTACAGGCATCGAAAAATTAGATATGAAAACATCTGTAAGATGTGAATATAAATATACCTCTGATTGTGGTAATGAGATATTGCCAGCGGTTCATCTTATTCGTGAAAACGGGTCCTGAAGAAATGGAGTAAATGAAACAATTTTCACCACCTGAATGCACTGATTTACAAATTTCTCTCCGACCTCGGATGATCGATTCAGTAATTTGAGTTTCATCTCAACTTAACGCATGCATCGATCTCATTTAGGCAGCCTTAAAGGGAGAAGAATATTTGTTTCATTCCACGCGAACTCGAATGTTCATTATTCAATATTACCCGTGGTTATTTCGGCGCTTAATGATGGTCCTTATATTGTCCAGCCAAGCACGAAACACCCGGCTTGAGTTACATTCTTTTGATAGCTAATTCGTATACCCATAGTCCCGTTCAGTATTTTCAATCCAAACCGTGGCCAAACTATCTGAGGAGTGATCACTAAAAAGAAATCGGATTATATTTGGATTGATAATTTTGAACAGTCCTGGTGTGAGCTAGTTGGAACAGCGGTAACACACATCTTCCATCCGAAGGCTTTGGAGCTTAAATCATGGAAGCTAGAGTAAGTAGTAACTCATTAATTAACTCAAACGACAGAGAAATTTAAGTTCAGAGCTTCTCAAATGCAAAATTAAATCAAAGGGTGATGCCAAAGACCAATAGGGTCGCGTTGTTGTCCCACGTTAGATTTTCTTCAACTGTTCTCTTTCTCATCTACCCGTTCTTGTTACAATCAGATGACTGCACACGTTGGTGCACAGAAGCGTTTGACTGTTCCTCAGTTAGCTTGGCTTCGCTCAAACTCAGACAAGAAAAATGTAGACTTGTGAGGATTTTATTTTTTTCTCGGGTGACAAACATTTGATCTCGAGATACACTGTCATAAGAAGATAAAGAGGAGTTCCCAAGGCAAACGTTGCAAAATAATGCATGCATTCAGATTAGACAATTTCGAGAACGTAACGCAACCGACAGCCTTAGGAGCAATACTGTCTGCATCAAGCTCGCTTTCATAGGTGACCGCTTTTTAAATTATGTGTAGTCGGCTGTATACCGCTTATTTGCAGCCGCTCAACTCCGACTCATGGCTCTACTAGCAGAATCGATGTGGGATAAACCTAGACATGGTTGGCGAACCGGTTCTGTCTGACACACTGTGTACCCATTCACCTACGGTTGTGGTGACGCAGAGATAGGTAGAATGAATGGCTTTTTATCACAATGGATGACGGAGCATATTACAGTGTTTTTGCGTAGTCTATGACGCAACTCACAACCGATGATCGGACGGTCGCGAGAAGCGATGAGTCCGGAACTGTAAGTTGAGAAAAACTGGCGTCTGATGCCGCTGGAATGCCTGGTTGACTGATTAAACTAAGGATTATTTGTGAAGAGAATTGGTTGCATCTGGTCTTAGCAAAATCATGCTAACACCTGTTTTTACCGTGCATAAATCGCTTATTTTATTTGACTTGTCAATTTCCGATCCGAATTCCCCAAACTTTCATCCTAAAAACATGCTTTTTCTAAAAGTTATTATTAGTTTCTTTTCTGTAATCTTGTAGCAACTTCACGCTTTTTACATGTGAACTTTGAGTGTCTGCAGTCACAAATCTCCTTTGAAAATGAATAAATTCGACACTAGATTGCACATTGTTTTAATAAGTTTGACTAGAGTAGTGCTAGTGTACCGGATGTCAACGTCTGTTTGCTACGCAGATGGTGAAGCTGGAGAAGCTGTTATTTGGTTGAAAAACTGGAAGGTCGGTGAAATACAGCCTGGTTCCGAGGGATATTCTGGCTACCGGATCAAATGAAGTAGCTGGAAATCTTCCTTCCTAAGACCTTAGGTACGCACTGGATCCGGAATGCAAGGGTTTCACTAGTAATCGACTGGAATATAGTACCGTGATTTGTTTGGCACAGTTGGATTCAGTCGTGTAATATATATAGATATATAGATATCTTTAGGGGATGAGAACAGTCAGATAAGATCTTCTGGGAGAACGTTTTGCAGGCATTGAAGCGGTGTGCAACCACACACTGTAAAAGATGTTCACGGGTAATAAGGCTGCACACCCAGTTAAATGTGAGAAGTCGGGAAATGGGTTTATGGTACTCGATAAATAGACCGGGAAAGAAATCAGGGGATTTAAAACCCAAAACATGAGCAAAAACAAAACGTCTAATGACACTAATAGGGATAGAAAGTGATCACCAAACACTTAACATAAAACCAGGTGAGATTATGGTTGAAGACAGCACCAAGATTTTGGACAGTTAATTAGTCGTCAATCAGTTTGGTCAGTTAAAATGATTAAAGGGGGATTGATATTTGACAGTTCATTGTACTTGCAACCCGTCAAAAGGGAGAAAATGACATCATAACATTTGGGAGGGGGCGTCATTCGGAGGTTCCTCTGTTGAGACCACTCCAAAATTTCCGTAATATCATATGATAAAATAGTCTGATATGAAGAGTTCGGTTAAGGTAAGCCAAGTATTACATCGTTCGCATACTTCATTCGAAATGAAGAATGACTCGTCAACAGAAAAAATGTAAGCGGAAAATAGGAAACAGAGGAAAATAGCGCCTTGTGAGCAGGGCAACAGCGAAGATGTTGGTTTGGAGAAATCATTGGCTAGGAGTTCAACTGTAAGAGGTTGAGCGTCCCCGGAGGAAACGATATTTAGCAAAATTTACCCGTCAGACGTATTGAAAGCAAAGAGCTAATCATCAGACGATTGAGTTTCTACCTGTGCGTTGGCGAGGAATGACAGTCTTGTCTCTTTGTTTCCTCTGATTCCGGGAGTTCAATTAGTACTGTTCCTTTTGTCGCTTTCTTTTAAGGTTTTCACACCAAGTTATCTTCATCCACATTTTTTGTGAGAAGTTGCACAAGAAAATCTCCCCGCTTACTTGTTGTCGGAAGCCACGGGGAAAGAATAACCATGAATCAAAGTCACAAACAAAGAAATGCTGCGAAAACAAGTTCCACGCAAAAATTGACAGCCGAGAGTGATCGTTCAAGGCGAAGAACACCCAGTCCACGAACAGTTCGGAAGCCGTGCTCTATTTGGACCAGTGTGAACCGAACCGATCGAATCTATCGAGCCGCTGTGGAATCGGAGAACCGACAACGAAATAAGCCAATCAGTCGAATAAACGGTCGTTGTGGGCAAGTCAAACGCCATCCCCGATTCACAATTGCACCAACATCTACGGTGCGCGCTCCGACTAAATCTGTGGAGACCACTCCAGATACGAGAGAACAAGGGGACAGTCAGCCAGAAGAAGACGGTGAATTAACGACAGACGAGTTGACCAAGCTGGATAGATCAGGTTCCGAACAGGTTACAATTGTGACCGCTCAAAAGCCACAACAGGATTTAATTGAATCAATTCAAACAGACATTATTGGGAAAAAGCCACCTGTTACGGTTCGTTATCGTTCAAAATCACCTCCGGTTCATTACTTGGAGAACACCAAATTGTCTGTTCCGAGAGTCTGCTCATCTTCCTCTTCATCTTCAAAACCGCGTCTGAGAAAACATATTCATGCAATCCAAAATCGATGGTTTGGCGGTTTCAATACCGTGGCCGACAAGCTTGCTCGGGTGGCAAAACTCACCGAAGAATTAACTCGAATTCAATCACAATTGAAACAATTGCAAAATTATAGCACGCTGGGACGATATTATTGTATTGCTGATCTTTACCTTGGTCTGCTTTGTGCCCAGTTGGCTCCACATGTTGTGGTAAGTGTGACGTTTCGATCAGGTACGGGTATACAGACAAAATAAATTCACTTGTTCAGGATTGCCATCGATTTCGTTGAATTGAAATTTTGAAAAACCTTCATTTCAGCCCGTGTTTTCGAAAAACGACTCTTAATCAAGAATGGAAAGTGACACTGAGATGAGAATCTTTGAGCATGGTGTGTGACACGACGTGATCATCAGTGTGCTTTGTGTCTCGCAAACACAGATCATCCCGGTAAAAGACCCCCCCCCCGGGTATGATCCGGTTCCATTTTAATTTTGATGAAACTGGTCGCGGTTGGTTGGTAGAAGATAATTGGTGCTAGTGAGTTAGTGTTTTACAGTGGTCCGAGGATCTAATGGGTCGTTACCATGTGGTGACTAGAGTCAATTAAATCCTTTCTGTATCTTCTCCGTTGTGTTTGTTGTAGCTCGGTTTTTTGGCACATAACTGTGGACGTTAAACGTGAGCACTTTCTACGTAAACCAGCACGTGCTTTCTCTCTTTCTCTTTCAAAGCAAACTATTATAATATTTGTTGGTGTTTGTCTGGTGATTCTATTTTAGAATGCTATGCTTTCCTGTGGCAAATCGGAAACTTTCCCCTTACGCCGAAGGAAATCCAGACGGTCACGTTTAGGATCCCTTAAATTCTTGACTCTCGCGCCATCTGCCGTGAAAGCACTGCTGTTTGAGCGTCGTAGAAAAAGATCGCGGAAGCTCACAAACGGTATGCATAACTCACTGCCAACAGGAATCTCGTGGTCGGGATCTTATTCGGACCAATTTAACGGACAAAAAGTGCTCAATGAAACCACATCGGAAGTGGATCGTCGTCGATTGCCTTGGTTGCGGTGTCGTGAATCATGTCCTCTGGTTTTACTTCCGCGTTGGGAACAAAGATTTGTCGGTCTGCGCGAGGCGGACGTGCCACCAGGAGGAGCTGTTTTGGTTTGGAGAGATAGACTGAGACTCACTCCGGCTCAAATGAAGTGGTTAGCTGACATGGTGAGGCGAACGTTCGCTTCATTTTTTGAACAATAAATACGGTGAGAAAAATAAGTAGATCAACCGTGTTCGTGTTCACTTTAATTTATCTACCCCAGGGTCTGCCAATTGAAGATCAACCCGATGACAAAAAATGTTTGCATTTATCACTTGTTTAGTATTCAACGTGACATGATTCTTCCATTAGTAACTTTTGATAAGTGTTAAATCTACGAACCCATATTTACAAGCAAGATGAACTTGGTATTGATAGTTCATGATATTGTATTCACACTTTGATTTTGTTCAATTCGTTCAAGATAATTATGAACGTTCTATGGTTATATTTGACTTTATTAATATTTTTCCACTCTGTGATATGTGAGAGCGTGATTATGAAAATTAGAAAACATTTTTTCCTCACAACTGGTTTTCTCAATGCTAAATATGGTTCAACAAGTCTGATGTCGGAAGGCGGTTTGGAGATGGATTGCATACACCAACTGGCTCAATAACAATGATATGCTTAAAATCTGAATACACTACAGATATTTACTTCTTTACTGATTGTAGTGAAATATTTCTAGTACCCCTATATGAAATAGCTGCCAGTGGCTTATCAGTTAGGTTGTATTCCCTAATGTTGGCTATTCATTTCTCCGCCCTTGGGATACTACCCTCGACACGAAAAGGAAGTAGTGAGCAGGACTTCTCTAGCAAATACTTTACTATACACACTGTGCAGGCAAATTTCTTGAGGCAACAACGAGAAGTCACTCATTCTCAGGAAGGGCCCTTTACTGTGTAACGAACGGGTACGTGGGAAATCAAACGTGCATGAAGACTTGTTTCTATTGCGCATTACTTACCCGGAGGTGTTTGGCGCCGCAGGATGCTTGTCAGACTGGCACTAGGTAAATGGCAAAGAAATTTCATCTCGGCTATAGGTACCTCATTGTTGGTAGTGCGCAGCTTGTTTTCGTAATGTCTTTTCTTAGTTTTGTCTATCTGTGGTTTAAAAATATGTGCTTTCTGTGTCTCGTAGTGTGCAGCGTGTGTGTGTGTGTGTGTATGAGACATATCTCGTGATGGGCTATGAAGTTCGACTTGCATCCACTGGCTAATTGCAATACCCGATTTCCACGTTTCCTTTTCAGCCGCGTGCCGGAATTGCGCCAAAACACTGTTCACTAGTTTATTATTATTCTCGGACAATTTTACAGTCGGTTCGTTCACCAATTGTGATACGGGGATTGAATGGGATATTTGGTCGCGTATGTTCTGATGATGCAATGACATCAATTTATTACTATTATTATTAATATTATTACCCATTTGCTTCTTTGTCATGGATAATTTATTTCCAAATAAAAACTGTTTTTCCGTCTTGTCTGATTCGTTTTATTTTCCGTTATAGACTGATGAACCGACTAATTTTAAACAAATATAACTCACAAATGCAAAGTGCTCACGCCTTACCTAACAAATCCGATGAACATTTCGATAGTCATTAAAACTTCTCATTGTCTTTCATTTGGTCTGTGAACGGGTGTTGGAACGAATTCGAAAAAAATTATCTTAATTTTTCATCGCGAATGAGTTTTACAGTAAACGGAATCCACTGTCTCAAGTTCCACCTCGAATGCATTCTAGCGACGTGCTTTCATTACCTCTGTCAAAGAACTGTTATAGCTATCTGCTCGTGGTTACCGCTTGCACGCCTTGTTATCAGTCAAATCTCAAGTCTACTTTCAACTGAAGCTTCATATTTCAGAGAATAACCTCACCGTGAATCATGCCAGTAGTATATATATACATATGTATAAGTGGAGAAAATTCTACTGGAAGTACGCGACTGGTAATCATTAGAGAACGATTTAACAATTATATGCAATCCATTTGGGCATTACTGTGGTTAGTCCTGAAAAAAACTCAGTGTAGCCTGTGGAGATCCATGCAAACGGTACACATTTACATAGAGAAATGATAAGTAATCAACGCTAGTTGAATTGCATGAGGATTGCTGATCCGTTTATTCTTCACAGTTCTCCACAGCTTTGTTCAATCGTTTGAGTGTCGAAACTACCAAGTTTGAGATGACTGTGCGGTTCTTCGTTATGAATCCATGACCATCACATCCAAAGTGATGCTACAGTTGAGTATATTCTCCTCTATGCTGGACAAAGTAAACAGATTTGTAACCACATTCAAATAAGACCTGCTGAACATCCATTGTTGAAATTTAACCTTGAAATTCGCCGCGGTTTGAGAGATCATATAACAAATGTACGTGATGGAAATGCTTTTTGTTCAAAAGCAAACTAACCAGGTTTGAGGCATGACATACTGCATTAGTCACCAAAGTAACCAATTTCTCAAAACCACTTTTGTAGACGCAGTTGTAAAATAAGTTTATTGTATGACGTTTTTTTAAATAAAATATAGTATCAAAAGAGCCACATTTCAACACAAATCATGCGAGTAAGATTCCTAATGACACCATAGCCTCCAACATGGATTGTGTACCTCGTATGTTGAGCATCCAAATCGTACTTCAACTAGCAAGGGAGCACCAGTCCCATTGTTGGTTGTAAATTTTCCTTGTTTCTCTATTCAGTGGCAAGTAAAATCGATAATATAAAGCCAATCTTTACAGGATTTTACAAAAGTAGAGATTATCCCTTTTTCTTTCGTATACAGCCATTTATTCAAATTTAAGCCAGATAAATGATGCTTCTCTCACCCACACATAGAAATTGAGGTCTATTGATCGCCCTAAGTGGTTAATTTATGAAATCTTTTTCATTAGATAATTATTAAAATTCACTTAGTAAACGTTAGTTCTTTATCATTGGAGTTTTTCTAGTAGACATACTTCTTTTTGAACGTTATACAATGCAGCAAAATGCGTTTCTAACCAGAGATTATGGAACAATAAAAATGTATCGATTGTTCATCCGATTAGAGTCTTCCGACACACTTCTCCCTGAAGTGAGCCAACGGAAAGCAATCTACCTGTCATCGAAAGCTTCAGTTCTCTTGAGATTAGACATGACCTCATTCTGGCCTTGAAGTATATCTGGTGAAGTTTTTTCGCTCTCGTCCTGTCTTGATAGAACCGAAGCTTATATTCGAGACTGAGACCAGGTCAATAAACCACGAGAATGTACGGAAGCTGAAAAATCCTGACTTCAAACTTACAAATTAAGTGTACGAACTGATTCCAGGACTCCCTTGCCACACCTGTCACCGGGGTTGATTGAGTGCTAGGGTTCACTGGCATTTTGGAAATGTAATTCACTTCCTAGGTGGCTAGGGTACGTCCAACGAATGCCTGAGGTACGTCTGCTACACCGTGCACTTATCGCAAACATTGGTTCAGGCTAGAAGAAACAACGAGGTGAACAGGCTATGACGTGATACAGAGGGTTCAAGAGATTGGGCTCGGATCTGACCTTCGTTGGGGCTTCTAGGCTGGGGCCCCAAAGATTCAGATTGTCTTTGGCTGGAGACACTGCGGGATATGGCATCGAATCGAAGTCAGTTTCGCGAATGCATCCTCCCCTGTTTGCAATTTCAAAAATAACAACGAACGTAAAAAGCTCAACATGGAATGCAGTTAACAAACAAAAAATGGTTTTTTCCCAAGTTGAATGTTTTTGTCTTCTCCGCTTCTGTTCCCATATTTTTCATTCACTCATGTTTATTTTGGCGCCGTATCTGTAAAAATTAATGTTTAATATATATTGCTACTTTTCCACGACTGACCTGGAAGAATTGAGTTCAGTTACAAACTATCATTAAATTTAATGTCCTCAAAGATACTGGTATTGTGAAATGTTGCTTTGTCTGTTTTATACTCACCAGTGAGGGAAATAAAAGCTGACGGTAAATAGTCATCATTCTGAATTTTTTCTCCATGACATCAGTAGCCGCTCGGAGCAGTGCATTTTTGACGTCACAAAATGTTCTTCGTGGAGATTTGATAATCGTCCTGTTGGTAGATGAGTGAACTTAAATTCTTTCTTTCAAAAGTGGGGATAATACTCACTAACGGTAACTGGCTGTAGCACCGAATCCATGATGACCGAGTTCTGTCAGGTTTTCTCTTAGAATCAAAAGTTGGCACCTGTTCATTTTTCAACTTTGTCTTAGCTAGAATATTTGTTTCAAGCACAGGCAAAAGCAATTGTTGAAGTGATCCTCAGGAACTGATTATGTTCCCAAATATCTTCTCCCGTTTTATCACCTTATCAACTGGTGCAGTGACTCTTAGAGCATGCGCATATTCTGTTTTAGTTCATACTTTGGTTGTGGCAACATACTCAGTCCTTCACTCGATCAACTTGATAGGTTCCGCTATGGTGGTTCAGTTCAGTTCAGTTCTTACAACCATTGACCGTGTACTTTCGTGTTCCCGTTTTGGTTGCTGTCTTTTGGTTGCCTATTTGGATAAAAAAGCAGAATGGTGATTGGAATGCTGAGAGCAGATTCAAGCGGAAGATAGCGCATTTACATCAACTGAGGTTACAAGAGTAATGAGTAGATGCATGAACACCACTGTTTGCGACACCCAGCCATATCGCTCAGTGCCTCTAACCACGGGTGATCATGATCTCGTGGTCCCTAGCCAGGGAGCCTAACGGAAATTATATGAGCCAGTCTCCTGGTCAGGGTTTTCATACCCCCATGTCAGGCCTTGGTTTGACCGCTGTTGATCTTTTTCCAACCGCTACCTGCCTCGGCAAACATCACTCACCATGGCAATCTATCTGGTGACATGTGTAGCACATATCCCAGCCAGCGTAATCTATGATGGTCGACTACTTGCTCCATTGGACGACCTCGATTACCTAAAACTCTACGCCTAACTTCAGCATTGCTCGTGGCGGTGGTAATTACAAAACGTGGCCGGGAGAGAGGGATCACAGCCGTTCAAGATGTAAAGTTATTTTACCGTGAGTTGTTTTGGTGTAAATTCTAAGCTTAGACAATGGTGTAAAAAGGTGAAAAGTTATTTTTCAGAGTTGATCACAAAAGCAGTTGTTGGTTTTGTCGAACACTCAGAAACTGTCACGAACTCTATCGCCCTCTTTCTCTCTCCCTGTCATACACACTGTACATAAGGCATTCTGAACAACGCCTGTGCACTCAACAACTTCTATCCAGACGTATGATTGGGCTGATTCAGCAAAGCCGTATATTGATTAGACGACGTAAAATGGTTCCACAGTGATTCGCATAAACCGCACCAGCTCATTGTTTGATCTTTCTTCTCGGAAGTACTCAACAACAGTTTGACACTGGGGTAATTGAACCATAGAGCTATTTTGTATCCGCACAATTCCGCTTTTGACACATCAGAATATTCTAATTAATGGTTGTCAGTTGAAATAGATATCCTACTAGTGTGAGCAGAGTTGTTTGAGAAAAAGAATTGAAGTCCTAAATTGATTATGGTTTTCTAAATCCATTCACCTAGATTTTACCATTTGTTTAATTACCATCACAATGATCATCAATTCCTCATTCAAGTGTGCTCAACCGGCCGAATTTTGGTGAGTTTCTCTCATCGTTTAAACATTCTTTAGCTGAGCAAGCACTCGGTTTGATTTAACATCGAAAATGATTGAATAAAATTTGTCTGGTACACATTCCTGAAGAGCGGCGAAAACCGCCAAGCCGATCGTGCACTTCCGAGGAAAGTTCATTCAATAATTAATATAACAGTAATTATTGGATCAGGAGTAGTGGACGCAAACGATATGTTGTGAGATCCATCCGAATAAACTAGTTATCTAATAGACCAATTCCAAAGTTCAATCAAGATCTCCAATGAAATGGAAATGTGAGACACACACACCGCACGTTCCACCGCCTAAGGGACTCATCTACCACACGTACGCGCATAACATCTATCGGTGCAACGTGAACGGACCAATCACATTGCTTCGTTTCACTTTAATCCCGTTTATAAAGGCAGGTACTTTACTGCCACACTCTGCAACCTTTAACATTTATGGATGAAAAATGTCCCAACTCTGATCGTGGAATGACCTCCACTCCACTGACATTGGTAAACCTCACTGCAGTTTCTATGAGGCACGGCAAATGTTGTTTGATTCAGTCTTGTGACCGACTGGAGGCGCTAACATATATATTTATATAGCGATGGCATTCGAATAATAGAAGCAAAAAAATAAGTCAATATTCGATGGAAATGTTTATGATAACCGATAAAGAGCACTGGACATCTGTTTCGTCCTGTTTGGGACTCGTCAGCAGTGCGTACTTCTTGTGTCCCTGTCAGGACTTGAACCGCGGGCATTTGGGTCAGGACTTCAAACCCTTCCCCTGAGCTACGCGGTCGACAGTTATCACCTTGTGCAAATGGCTTAATCAATTTGGACGATGAATGTCTTAAACAGGACGAATGAGCTAATCCAAGCTTGATACTCTAAATAAGTCGATATTACTAGAGATATGTTGTGTCTGATGTGCGGCAACAGCACATTTAATTCTTTCAATGAGGCTCGAAACAGTAAGCGATGACAGGAATAAATCTGACGAAATCCAGGGTGTTACACGAGTTTAGTCAATACCTGCATATATATATATGTATATTTGATAATAAGTAGTATATGAATGACTGGACAAAATTTCCCTGGAAGCACACGACTGGTTTCGCGGTTCTTGCCGCTCGTCAGGCATGCGTATCCGATAATCTTTTGCCAGTTCATTCATATACTTGTACCCAGGAAATGTATTTTTTTCACAATAACCTTGTTTGCAACACCGGGTTAGTAGCATCTAACCCACTTGCAAAACATCGAATCGTAGCATTGATGCTTCATTGGACTGGCTCTGAAAGAGCTGTCTATCCAATGGTCCCCCAGTGTGACAAATATATATATATATATATGTATACATATATATATATATATAAACACTACCCTTTACAAATATGGCACCAAAAATAAAACACGACACCAACTTATTTGCAAGTTAGCGGCACAAAAACACGTTGTCAATCCGTGGGCGACGGAAGCGAAGATGTCAGTCGATTTTGTGGAAATCCAAGGTGATAGATTGCAAAGAAACCCAATAGGGGTTTGAAGAGTGCAAGACTCTGAATTTACTGCTTCGAAAAGGACGGCATCTGTAAACTGGAATATGGACATGGTCCACTGCAGACGACCACCGCTTGAGTTACCAGCAGCCTAAGCCAAACACCAGTAAGGCGTTTCCTTCTCACAAGCAACCACAGGAAATCGAGACTTCAATGGGCAATAGGGCGGCTTTTTTAGTGGCCAGGATTTAAGCGGCATGCGATTTCGACTGATGAGGCCAGCATCATCTTGAGACATCGTGATGAAAGAATTCGTACATGGTGAGCACGTGGATGATGGTGTAACCGTTCGCAATGCGAAAGGCGATACCGGATCGATGGAGGTTTTCATGTTGTTCGGATGAACTAAACCTGTGAGTTTGACTATATGTTATTGAATCCAGTTACTGTGCGGTTCTAAACAATCTTCTGCACCTTCGGATGTATTCAACACGAGATGGATCAGAATGACAACGCCAGGCCACATCACTCTCGGATTGCACTGGATTATAAACCACGTGAAGGAATTATTTCTACCCAGCTGTATTATGATCCGATGGAATACATTTGGAACGTTGTGAACAGAAGAACAAAGGAGATAGGCATTCTGAACATTACAAGTCTAAAAGGTTTTGAAGAAAGAATGGGAAGAAGTGTCTCATAACTACATATAGAAATTAATCACTGATATGACTTTGAGAGAAATGACGAGGTTGTCAAACGCAGAGCTAATGATAAAGCAAATTAACCAATGCGTGGTTTATATATCCAGAATGGGATCCACAAAATTTCGGGGTTTCCAGTTTATAATGCAACTCCAATGCATATGACATCAGTTTTATCTTAGGTTTTCGGTGTTTTTTTGTTTTTACGTATAACATTGACTTGTTTTTTTAGAGTAATAAATCGGTGCATGGCAGTACATAAAAGACTGATTTTTTGGCCACTCTAGAAGACTACGCTTGATGCAGTAAACTTATTATAAATATTCTCATGCAAAGAGGGCGAAAAATGCGTCGTGTAGATCACTTTATTTCAATCAACGATTTCCTATCTGAGAAGCATGTAAATGGCGTGGATATGCGTCTAGCGCACAGATGTTTATCAAACATAATTCAAAAATTTTGGCTCAATGACCAGCTGAGTGACACATCAAACCATTTGGAAAATGAGCCATGGAAACTACTTTCCACCTCCAAAACTTGTGCATTTCAACCACTGAATCCCTTCCGTTTTACTGCCGCTTTTGGTGATAAGTTTATCAGAACACTTGCTAGGACCTAAAGAAACAAAGAGCAGTCGATCTCTTGGATTCTATTTTTGTATTTTGTCATCTGCGATATTTATTACTGTCTTTGTTCGTAGAAATTTAAGTGAGACATATACCTTATAAAATTAAAATTTACTGATTCGATAATGGAGATGGAGAAAAATAAAGTCTTAGGTGACTGCAGAAACCAAAAGAAAGTGAAAATGATCACAGTGTTTAATAAAGTTTACATTAAATGATGTTGAAAAATGTCCAAATACGTTGAATAAGAAACGAGTCAAATCAGGTTCTTAAAGCTCAAAGAAACGTTGTATTCACCACTTGATAATTCTCACACGAGCCTCGTACACCCCTCATCAGTCGTCCGATTCGTTGTAGATATGCAATGAAAGCCCGATGACCTTCATGACTGAGATCGTATTTAACTTCAACCTGATGATATCCGATCAAAGGACCGGTTGACGTTCGCGGCTGGCTCAAGGTGATCTTGCAGTTGCACATTTTTTCAATACGTCTGACCAATTTTGTTTGACGACGGAAAATATCCTCATAAACAGTCCCGCTGGATATAATGAATGTGAAAGAAGTAATGATTGGTTCCGGCTCATCCATTTGACGACTGAGGAAACACTGGAACATAGTTGTCGCAGCCATTGGACCTCAAAAATAGTTATTCATGCGAATCCATATTCATGACTCACGAACATGCTCGGAGTTATTGATTTTGGCCTTGTTCAAGTATGCCTCAAGTAGAGTAACGTGACTTTAAAGCACGTGAAACTAAAAATCCTTGAATACGGATTTAGAGGCCAGTCAGGTGTTACTTACGGGAGATTAATCAATTATTATTCCGTTGCTTATCGGATTTGAGCAGAATGTCTTTCGATTCACCTAGAATAGATTCATATAGATGCAATAAATATTTATGTTACTCATGAGTAGACAAACAATACCCGCGTTTCCTAGTACTGTGGATGCTAAACCAGCACCTTTCACGAAACCATCAAATTATAAAACTCATGAAAATACACTTGGTCACCATCCACCTGTGTGTAGGTAACTAAGGTGGTTTTAATGAAAAATCGTTTTGAACACCAGAGGGGTCGGTGGAACTTAAGCAACAAAATTGCTATCACCATCGTACAAATTATTTCTCAATCTTTAAAATTGCACATCAAACGAAAAGCGATTTGTTCATGGGTTGTCTATTCTTCAGACTTCATATTCATGCTCTGTCCTTAGTTCATCCAGCCAAAGATATACTCACGAAGCACCAAACTCCAGGGTCACTCTTGTTAGTGCTCATCAGTAGTAAATATTCATCGATCTGTCCTGGACTTACTTGATCTCCAGACCCATTGCATGGATGGTGTATTACCACTGCGGTAGCAAACTCATAGTAAGGCTAACCAGGATTACCAATAAAATTTGGTTCATATTTCATCTTCATTAATATTCATTCAGCTAAGCGAGCCTGACAGCTAAGAAAAGAGATATCGAACTGTTAGGTAACTGGGACGCCTCCCACCGAATCAGAAATTCCATGAGAATTCGGGCATTAGACCTGCTAGGCTAGATTTTAGTTCACAGTTAACTCACAGGTACTTGATGAGCTATGAAAAGACTTTGAATTGAGATTAGAGCTTCCTGAGAGGGTGTTTGAGTAGATGAACTGAGGATTATGTGTGAAGACGAAGTTTGGAGGATTATCAGTCTAAATATATAATATATTTCAAATAGAACAAGGAGTAGCGAACAAGCTTGTTTTCAGTGATTCGTAGTCATGCCAAATACATCACAATAAATATTACACTGTTTATATATAAATCAGTATTCAACCATAAATCTTAAACAAATGTTTCGGGAAAGGGAAAATAACCTCATGGGTTATCCGGGGCTAAGTTCATCTTGGGACCAGGTATGGAATTCTCAATGATCACATAATTGTTAGGTCATCCGATTGTTGGGACCACTCGGAATATGGGGTGTATAGAGGGTGGGCTAAGGGAGCTTAAGCGCCTGCGCAAATTGTTTTTGTGCCCATAAAGGGGGGTGGTGCAGCCGAATTCCTACCGCTTCCGCTGTGGCTAGCATACGACAGAGAACCTGCCTTGATAATCGACCACGAACCCGATACAGGGGACGGAATGCCTCGGTCACATTCAGTATGATTTACTTCAACTAGGTGTGAAACCACTGCACTAGTGAATGACTTAATCGCTCCTGTATTTAGCCATGCCGGGTGGTATTGTATTGTATTGTATTGTAATAACTTCTGCAAACATGAAGCCCACATTTCGGTTAAAAAGTATACAGTTTGGAGCAAGGGAGAAAATGAAAATAACAATGAAAAAAGCGATTTAAGTTCCAAAACTGTTAACAAATTCTGTGAAAACCTGTTCTTTGTTAACAAGAATACGTGCTAATGAGGATACTGTGGAGCTACGAT